ATTTTGGATTGTCACGCCAAGACAACGACCAAAGTTATGCCGGGGTTTCCCCGATTTGTAAAGTCAAGCTCGCAATTGCGACATCCGCACATGGGTAAAAATGGGAAAAATTGAGACTTGGCTCATTTTACATCCTTTTTCAACCCTAAATACTTTTTCAAGTGATCTTTCTTCCCAAAATCATTGGTAAGCAACTTTAATGTATTTTCTTTCAATTACCTGATACTTTTCATATGTTTTTAACATCAAATCTAAGATTCTCATGGTAAAAATTAAGGAATTGGATAAAAATTAGAAATTTTATAAAATTGAGATCCAGACCTTAAATTGAGGTCGAATTTCAAAACAAATTACATAACCGGGCTCGGGGGTGAATGGGTAATCATTTTTTGGTCCAAATCTCAGGTTTTGACCAAGCGAGCCCGTAGTTGACTTTTATTGACTTTTTTCGAATTCGTTAAAGATTGAATCTTTTTCACTCGTGAATAGTTTCTAAAGCTTATTTTGAAATTGTTTGATCGATAATTGGTTAGATTTGGTTGGTTTGGAGGCTTGTTTAAAATGCAAGGTTGTGGTTGGTTGATTAACTTGGTTGCGGAGTGAGGTAAGTGTCGTGGTTAACTTTGATTTGAGGGATTAGGACTTGTTGGTCTAATTGCAACGTGAATTATGTGCAAGAATGACGTATATATAAGGTGACGAGTATATATGCGTTATTATTAGGTTAAAACATCTGAGTGAAAATTATTTTATTGTATTATGTCGTTTCCATGATTATGTTTTCCATGTTGTAGTTAGATAATTACTTCTTTAATTGTTCGTTTTTCATATCTATGGCTTATTTTGAAGTTGTTGGGATTTCGAAAGTTGAGATCAATTATCATTACACTAAGATTGAAGTGAAATAGCTTCCCACCTTGTTTTGTTATTTGGATTAATGTTATTGCTTGGTGAGGAAGAGTGAAAAGTAAGAAGGGTGTTGTTGTATCTTATTTGCATACAATATTATTTATTGAGAGATTGTGAGGATCAAAGCATGAAGGATGATGTCATGCATTTGATTTCTCATTATCCTTTACCACATCATGTGAGCGTGAGAGTAAAGCACGAAGGGTGATGCGTACCATTTTATTTATGATATTACATGGTGACGAAAAATCATAAAGGGTGATGTCGTGCCATTTTATTTATGATATCACATGGTGAGGACGATAGTAAAAGCATGAAGGGTGATACCGTGCCATTGTTGATTTCTTTTCTTTACTTATGTTTCGTATTGATGATTTAATTGGTTGGATTATTATTATTATTATTATTATTATTATTATTATTTCTTTTCGGAAAAAAGGTTATTCGGTGATTTTGTACTTGCTGTTCTTTTTGTACTTCCCTTTCTACATGTACCCTCCTAGCCAATACCTTAATTGTCCTATTTGTTATTTTGCTACTTTATATATATACTTGTACAGGATTTACGTATGTGTCTTGTCATAGCCTCGTCACTACTTCGTCGGGGTTAGGCTCGATACTTACGGAGTACAGTGGGTTGGTTGTACTTATGCTACACTTCTATATTTTTTGTGCAGATAACAGTGTTGGTCACAACGGTGTCTAGTGGTGTCTCTGCTCGAATTCAATTGCATTGGAGACTTGAGGTATAGATGCACGACGTCCGTAGCCCTGAAGTCCCCTTCTTTATCCAGTTTACTGTTTATTTAATTTTAAACAATTTTATCTTTCTTCAGACTTTATCTGTTGTACACTAGATGCTCATGTATACGTGACTCGAGTTTCTGGGATATGTTTAGATCATTCTTTTGGTATTTTATCAATCTACTTCAGACTGTTACAGTTAATTATTATTAACGTTTTGATTTGAATTGTTAAAACTGATTAAGTCATTTAGCTAACGTTGACTTGCCTAGCAAGTGAAATATTAAACACCATCACGGTCCTAAGAGTGAGATTCCGGGTCGTGACAATTATATTCCAGAGTGGAGCAAATTGGCGACCTCTAAATAAATAATAATATATATGTCATAATTATTAGGAGTTCCCGTATATACTACTATTAAAAATAGAAAATTTAACAGGAAAGACAACATATTATTATTAAATCGATATAAAAACTCTACAACAAATGTAATTAATTCATAAATTCTTAAATAGTATGAGTTTCAATATAGTTCAACTAAAGAAAAAAATAATTAATACTAAAAATTTAGTTAACTTTAAATTTAGAAAAATAAATAAATGATAATTTTGTTCAGTGTGAACAATATTTTTAAGGGGTAAAAAAAGCGAATGATATTTTGTAAAGGGTTTCGTAGATAGATAGATAGATAGATATAGATATAAATATAGATATATATTGTAAACTCTTATAGAGTTACAAATTCTTAAGTATTACCGGTAGCACTATTCCTATTTGAAGATAATAGGAAGGCGTGAATATATATTCTTATAAATATTAAAGACCTTATTCTTTTCTTCTTTTTCTTTTACTAAAACAACGAAAGTACTAAATACTAATTGTAATTTCTATTTAGAAGAAAAGATCTTAGATTACTGTGTGTCCTAAATATTAGGACTTCCTAAATTATTCAAATAAGGAAAAATTTTATAACTAAAATTTTAGTTGAATTTAAATTCCTAAATATTAAGGGAATAATTTAATTATAGTTTTGTCTAATATAAAACTTATTTTTAAGGAGTAAAAAAGGCAAACAAAGTTTTGCTAAGAATTTTCGTACTTTTAATATAGTATAAATAAATAAATAGATATAGATATAGATATTTATATGCCAAACTAATTAGCTGGTGGGACATTGATATAGCCTTCCAAGCAATAATTTAATCTTGAACCTAATTCAAATGTTTGTGTGAAAAGAAAATCGTTAATTTCTACTTTACTTTTATCTTCTCGTGCACTTCGAAGTACAACTTAGTAAAAGATAAGCAAAGCAAAAGCAGAAAAGTACAATTAGGACCTAGGAGAAGCTATGTACACTTCATCACGATATCTTTGCCTCATACAGCTCGGGCCGAAGACCGGGGAAGTTTAGAAGATATGGGAAACCTTGCAGTTGCCTGTCGAGGCGGGGATTATGGGTGGTCCGACGTATTTTGGAATCTAAAGTCAAACTTGAATGAGGGGTCTTAATGTTTTAATTTATTTTTATTATTTGAAGTTAATTTTTTTAGTTTTTTTAGATGCAAAGTTACTAATAGTTTTTTCATAATTAATTTCTCCTAATAAGTGTTTCTCAATTGGCAATATAGCTAATCCATTTAATCTCTCTTGAGACATTGTTGATTTTAGGTAAGATTTTATTAATTTTAATTTTGAAAAGTTTCTTTCCGCTGAAGCAACGGTAACTGGAATTGTTAACATTATTCTATAAGTAATATATGCATTTGGAAAAGAATCAAGTCTCTTTATTTGATTGAGTATATCGATTAAACTATTATCTTCTACTTGTACTATTTCCCTTAATACTTTCAACTGGAACTAAACAACTTACAACAAAAATAAAATACTTTAGCTAAGTCTATAGAATAAACTAACCATCTTCTATCATGTCTTTCACCATTCGCCAATGTTTGAATATAATGTGTAGTAGAAAAATGTCTTAAAAATTATCATTTGAAAAATTTGTGTCAATTATTCTAATCGGTCCTTTTTCTAATAATAGATCTCTCAATTTTGTATATACATTAGTCCATTGACTAGGATCATATATATTTATAGGAGTTATATTATCTATTTCATTTATAAGCATCCATATATTTTTTTGAGGATCTATTTCCGACTTGTCACTTGTTCTTTTTCTACTTGAATATTATTAATTTTAGAATTATCTAACTCAACCGAATTACTAACTTGCTCATCTAGAAAACACTCTCCCAAATTTTCTGATTGAAGATTTTTATTATTCAATAAAAATCTATCAAGAGCACCTTTTTGAGATTGTATTAGATTTTGAATTCTTCTTCTTTTCTTGAGTTTTTCATAACCAGATTCACACTTTCTATTTGACATACTTATCTTCTAATAAATAATCTAAAAATTCACTAAATAGCAAAATATTAAATTTTAGAAGAGAAAATAACAAAAAGATAGAATAAATAGCAAAATATTAAATTTTAGATGAAAAAATAATAAAAAGATAGAATGATAGAACCTGGTTCAAGAACGAATAACTTGATATCAAATTAAATTTTCTGCTCAAGTATGCTTGTCATAAGACTTGAATTATGAAAATAGAACAAACAAAAAACACTCCATTATTTCTTGAATCAATACAGTGAACTCTGAAGTCTGAACCTCCACAATAATGATTGATCTTTGGCTATTGAAAAATGGAGTCATGAATTGATTAATTGAAGTCTAAAGAACAAAGTATAAAAATATAATATAGTGGCGTAGTGCTATTAGTGCACACGTTATTTTCACTTTGCTCGAGAAAGTTGTGGTCCACTATCTCAAATTTGTGTTCTCTTTTTATGCAAACTTCCCACATATTGTTTCATTTTATAGGTTTTTTAAATATTTTATTTTATTATATATATAATTTAGGTATAACCAAAAAATTGGGCTCCCATAAATGTGTGGCCTAAAGCAATTGTTTTACCCATTTTATGGACGGACCGCCCCTGGCGGGGATAAGCGTGTTTCTTCACAAGTCTATCCCCAAAAAAATCGATCATGTAGCGCTAGCACTTTCCGTTTTTTCTATTCCATCCCATTTCATTCCGGGATAGGCGGCTAATATAATAAGTGAAGTAATCGTGTCTGACCGCGAGATTAAATATATGATGGGGATACCCGGTATTGTAATCATCATTGATCAGCAAGAAGAATATGTGGCCTGCGAGAGTGTAATACTGCAGGATTTGTTTGATTATTAAAATATCAAATAAAATTTATCTATACTAAGTGAATCTTAAATGAGGATTAAGTCACAGTAATTTCATGTTAGTGGCCAAAAGTTACAAAATAAAACTTAAAAAAAGGATTTCCATTTGGAAATACTAACAAAATAGTGCAGAATTATTTATTTTACAATGTTAGCTACAAGGATTAACAATCAAGAAAACTCTATGGCCTCATCAAAGTGAAAGTCACTAAATTTATCAAAATCCTCCATATCACTAGAAATAACTCGTTCAAAATAAGAAGAATGATCAGCCATTATAGAATCATGAGCAAAATCCTGCCATAGGTTGGAATCCATGGATGATGATGATACATCACTTTGTACCTTAATTTCTTGATATTCTTCTTTATTCACTGTTGAATCATGACTACTGTCAATAGTATCACTGCTGGGCAATAATTGTTTTACTTCAAAAGAAGGAGATTCCATTTCATGCTTTGGAATCTTTACTGAGTTGCAAGTGTGTTGGCCAAAGTATGTGGTGTGGTAAATGATTGGATTTTCTTGGATTATTTGAACTTGTTTTGCGGCCCTGCAATCTTGATCATGCTTGTGTGTGCACCTAAAGTAGCACCTATAATTATCCACAAAGAGGCCAAAATTATATTAGTTTCACAAAGTTTAGCAATTTTAACACTGATACTGTAAAAGAATTTACATCATCGTCAAGTTACTTAAAATATATACTTAACTACTAAATGTAATGTTCATACAAAAAATAGGATTAGCAAACGGATCAATAAGACATGTGACCTATTACAAGTTTTGATAAATATAAAATTTTATTTACAAAATCAATAAGGTTATATCCTTTAGTAATTAAAACACTTTTTCTCCGGTGATCTCAGCATTATTTTAATATTAATATTAATTAGAAAGATAGTATCTATGTATGAAAAATTCCGACTGTTAACCATAAAAAAAGTTGAACCTAATTTGTTGTGCTCCAAAGAACGGGGAAAAGAGGAAGAAGCTTGTCGATTGAGTATATTTAGTAGGCGTTTGGGCATAAAAACTACTCCCTGTTTCAATTTATATGAAACCATTACAGAATTTAAGAAAAGAAAGATACCTTCTGAATTTGATATATATGTAGTTATAAAATATTACTACACATATATTTTGTGTAGTTATAAAATATTACATAAATATAAATTATTTCCAAATACAAAAATGGGTCATTCTTTTTGATACAGGCTAAAAAAAAATATATTCACATAAATTGAAGCATAAAGAGTATAGTTTTTGAAAATTAGCAGTATTTGGAATTAAGATGAAAAAAATAATATTTAAAATTTAAAATTGTATTTGGACATATATATTTCACTTGAAAAATATTACAATTTTGTGCAGAGAAATCTTAAGTGGTTTTTTTGAAAATCTCATTTCCGAAATTTTTTTTTCTTTTTTTAAAAAAAAAAATTAATGGACAAACGGGTCCTTAATATACCTTGGATACTTTGAATTGAGTATATTCTTCTGCCCATATTTTCTCCATGCACAACCATCTTCCACTGTTGCAGATTCTCTCATCCATGAAGCTGAGGTTTTCCTGCAAACCCCAAATTAAGTTCATTAGTTTGATTTAAACATGCATATTATATGTGATGGTAATTAACTGGGAATTTAGGAAAAGTTGCTACAATATTATTGATCCATTTTTAGTGACACACTTCTATAGTTGAAGACTTTTTTTTTTTTTTAAATCTTAAAGCTCTCAATTTAGTTTTAATAACATGTCCTTGTAATCATATATAAAAATGGTATGTGACATACCAAATCTAAACCCAACCAAACACAACATTGAAAAATACTTAATTAATTATCTTCTCTTGTAGCAACCTCTGCGATCTTTCCCTCCTTGTTTGTCCTTCTTCTTCTTCAATTCAGAAGTAGAATCTTTGGACTTCCGATCTTCGGAATCAGCTTGATCAACCTCCTCGATCTGGAATGCTAAACCCCAAGTATTTAACTCAGTGATAGCTTCACTAAAAGACCTCCAAATTTTGAGAAGAAGTTCATCAGCTGAAACTGAACCATGATCTGCAATAGGCTGTTGAAATAATGTTTGAAGTTGGGTTGCAAATCTTTTTCCTTCAACCAGTTCTTTCATCACTCTAATTTTACGTGGATTTTGATGAACTAATGGCTTCTCCATTTTAACTAAGAATTAAAGTTTTTTTTTGTGTGTGTGTTTTGGATAAGATGTGAGAAGTTGGTAGTGTTATTTAAGAGTGAAATGGAGGAGATGAAGGAAAGAGATAAGAACGTGACAGGAAACTCCGAGGAAGCACGGACAAATAGGAAAAAGAAAATCTAGATTTTTTTTTTGTTTCTTCTTCTAGAATTTGATGTCAGCAAGTGACGCCAATAATGACGTCAAAATATTTTTGTTGGTTAATTTATGGTAGTATTAATTGGTTTTGCCCTATCATTTTACTAATCTTGGACAAGTCTGCCGACAAACGTGCCTATGATATCTTTGCTTTTTTGTTTCTTTCTTCTCTTTTTCTTCGACTTGTTTTTTTTTTTTGTTTTTCAGAAAAACAAAATAATAATCACAAACCTCTCTCCACTCTTGAGGTTTTAGTTTTAACACATACCGAGGGACGGCTGGAGGGACGGCTGGAGGGTAAGGCTGGTAGAGCCATTGCCTTGGGCCCAAATTCTAGAGGCCCCCAAAATATTATACTATATTATTATGTATTATATTTTTTTCGTTTTAATTTATATGAATTCATTTGATTGGGTATGGAGTTTAAGAAAAGAAAGAAGATTTTTGATCTTGTGGTGTAAAAATGAGGCATATATATTTTGTGTGCCTATAAATCATTGCATAAAGGTAAATTGTTTTCAAATAAGAAAAGATGTCATTTTTTTTGGCACGAATTAAAAAAAAATAGATTCACGTAAATTGAAACTGTGGGAGTATATCTTATGCTGATTACTTTAAGAGTCAAAATTTTAATATTTGTTTATTTGGTTAAGAATGTATGAGTGAGTAAAGAGGATAAATCTCCGTTTGTTAGTAGTATATTTATTTTCTTCTTTTATTTTAATTTTTCCTCCTTTCTTTCACATGAATTTAAGATTTCTCTTTCCAATTTTAAATTTTATTTCTTTGATTTAGCTACTTTCTCATATTTAATTGACTCATTGATTAGAACAGAAAATCCTTTGTGTCTCACTATTACATAAATTTTGTAAAATAGGCTTCTTAATATAATTGGCTTTAGGCCACCAACTTCGTTGAGCCGCCCCTGCTGACATACTTTATTTATAATTTCAAATATCTATGAAGAACTCTCTTCTTTAGTATTTGGTGCTACAAAACCGTTTTGAAACATAAACATGGAATTTGTCCCTTTATTATTTTCCTTTTTTATATAAAAATATTAACTTATTTTCTTTTGTTATCATTAGATGTATGTATTTATTCTTCACTCCATTCAATGTATAGCGTTACTAGCACTATCGAAACCAGAAATTTTCCCATAGTATTCAAACTTGAAAGTAAAAGAAATCTGTGACAAAGGTTATTCAATATATGTTATTTACTTCTAACACCTAATATTTTATTTATATATAGAGTATAATTTTTCAACAAAATATGGTAAATTGACCGCCCTTATCAGAGTATAGCTTCTCACCCGGCTACCGGTATAATTTAATTCTTACACTCTTTTACTACTATTTATATAGAAAACTATATTCTCATATTTTATTAAATTATAATCTAATCTTATCATCTTTCATTTATACTTTTGAAATAATATTTATAATTAAATTTAAAAAATACACATGAAATTAATTAAGATAAACAAGCCTTAAAAGGAGTGGATCACTATCACTATCAAAACAAAGTAAGAGTTAATTACTTTGTTGTCAAAGTAGAAGAGATTATATTATTAACAAAGAATAAACTTATTAATTTTAAGTTAAAAATAGTTGTGTTACACTTATAAGTATCAATTTGGGAGGTGGTGTACTACAAGTCGAAATCTCTGAGGAAATTTGTGAAATTATTTTTCTTTATTTCATGCCTTATCTTAGATTGATCTACGCTTCATTTATGTGAGACAAGTTAACAAAGATCCAAACTCAAAAGTTTAATTATGAACTAAACAGTATTAATCAATTCCCATAAACTGAGTTCCTTTCTAAGAAATAAGATTGGATATTTAATTAATTCTTTATGTGGCCTTCTAAGTTCTAACCCACAAGTATGGTTCGTTTCACTTGATTTTAGTTGCGTACCCAAACAATTTCATAAACAATGTCAATATTTGAAGAAGATAACAAATTAATAAATTACTGTAACGACAAGCGATATCATTTTTTATATTTATACCTAATATTTTAATTTTATTTATTACTTATACATATAAATTACAAAAATATTTCGAATAAACGGTATCATGTGACACCCGTCTCAAGCAGGTGCCTGCGCCTATGCTTGATTTATATATCATTGTCTGACTAGTATGCATGACAATCAAGGAAAACGAGAAATGCCTTATTTTTTCCCTTGGTTGTTTGATAAATTCAAGTGGGAGAGAAGTGGGTAGGGTAATAAATAACAATTGTCTTCTTGGATCCACCAAAACTTCTTCGTCCTTTCTCTTTTATTTTCAACTTGCAAATCATACGATAGATCACGTGCCTAAAAGGCGGCATAATCACTCTAATCTTTTACTCAAATTGTCATTGTAAATACCTAGTTTTTAACTATATTTAAATTTTTATCACTTTCTATTATATAAATATTTTTAAAATTTAATATATCTTTTTTTAGCTTTCTTACATTTTTTTATAAAGGGTAAAAAAGTAATAATAATTTTAAAAGGTCAATTATTACTATTAGTATTATTTTTAGTTTTATTTTTATCTTTATCTTTAAATAAAATGAATTAAAAGACAGAAAATAAATAAAAATTAATTATTATTTTTTTTAAAACAAATTTCATATGGGAATTTAAAAAATAGGAAAAGTAGAAATATAAAATTTAAAAGTAACAGTAAAAGTAGGTGAAAATTATTTAATAAAAAAGTAAAAGAAAGTAAAAAATTTAAAAAATAAAAGTAAAAGAAATGAAAAGTAAAAGAAAGTTGGAATTAAAAAATAAAAGTAAGGGTAGCTGATTTTTTTTTAAAAAAAAGTAAAATAAGTGGGAAATAAAAAAAAGTAAAATAAGTGGAAAACAAAACAAGAAAAGTATAAAAGTGGGAATTTATTTATAATAAAAGTTAAAAAAAAAGAGTAAGAAATTAAAAAATAAAAGTAAAGAAAAGTGGAGAATTATTGTTTTTTAAAAATAAGAAAAATGGGAAGTGGAAATTCTATTTAATTAAAAATAGTAAAATAAATAAAACATAATTAAAAAATCTGAAAATTCCGAAAATATTTATATAAATAAAAGAAAATTGTGAGAAAAAAAAGAGGGGAGAAAGGAAAAAATAGGGAGGAAGGAATTGAGAGAAATTTATTTTCTTCTTCTAGGATAAGGAAAAATCTACTCGTGTCATTCTTTCTTCATCTTTCTTTCGAAAAAACCAGCAGCTTCACCACCCAAAAATAACCTTTAAACCTCCATAGAACAACCCTTTTAATACCATAAACTACCATCCAAACCCAGTCGAAACAGTGAGGTTTTTAGTTGAGGTCATCGGCGAGTTTCGATGCTCCGTTTTAGGTCTTGCGTGCGGTCTGAATGAGTTTAAGATTCAAAGCTGTAAAACCGTAAAGTTTCAGATTCAACTTTTGAGGTCCACTTCTTATCTTGTTTTGATTAATGATATGAGTTGCTTCTTTTTCTTTTGGTGTTCTTTGGTGTTCATTTATATCTTGAATGAATGAAATTATTCTCTGTTTAACATGCCAATTTTTGAGCTTCCTCTTTGTATATTTATTTTAGTTCATTAACATGTTCTCTTAAAAAATGGTCTATCCCTGAATGATTTAATGAAATTTGCAAATTGATAAGTGAGTTGTGATTGTTCATAAAAAAAATAATTTCTTATTGAAATGGTAGCTCAAGCAATGTTATGTTTCTATTTGATTATTTAGTCCTTCATGTGTTAATAAATGAGCTTTAGTAGTTCCATCTTTGTTTTAAATCAAGTTGTCAATTTTCTAAAGTATAGAGTTAAGTTGTTAAACAAGTTTAACTAGAATTATATCAGTAGTGAAGATCCAATGTTTGGGCCTAGACACATGGGCTGTTGAAGGAGGTGGAGTTGTGAGGATACTATAAGCTAATGAAGAAAGTTATTTTATTTTTGGGCCAAAACTTGAAATCTGCTAGGCCCATTAATCTCATACAATGACCCCTTTTTGTAGTTCTTGAATAATTAATTTAATCTATTTTCATGCTTTTCTACAATGACATACTCTTATGGCTTTACAAATCTCAAATTAGTTTAAGACAAATAATTCATAAACTTCGTAGCTTGCTTTAGACGCGATTAATAAATTATTGTGGTCATGGGTACTATTCCCGTGGCATGGTCACGATACGTAAATCCCAATTCGAGTGCGCACTTCACGCGACTTGACAATAACTTCAAATAATAATAATAAATATGTTGTAAATCGCGCGTGCGTTTCACGTGGCGTGGTTTGCAATGTGTACCAAACGACAAGTGTACGACATCGTAACTTTTTTAAGAAATAACTCCATAAATACTAAAAATCGATTTAAATACATAATTAAAAGCGCTCAAAGTTAAAATGCACAATAGGTTCAAAACAGGTAATAAATCAGATAATTAGAAAGTAAGAAAAATAATTTAAAAAATCAGATAATTAGGCCAAGTATTAATTTTTAAGCGACCGTGCTAAAACCACGGAACTCGGGAGTGCCTCACACCTTCTCCCGGGTTAACAGAATTCCTTACCCGGTCTTCTATGTTCGCCGACCATAAATAGAGTCAATTTCCTTGATTTGGGATTTTAAAATAAATCGGTGACTTGGGACACCATAACTTATTCCAAGTGGCGACTCTGAATAAATAAATAATCCCATTTCGAATAATGTCATTTAAATTGGAAAAACTCTCCTATCCCCCGAGAAAAAGGAGGTGTGATAGCTCTAGTGACTCTACTGGGGACAAGAACCTAGAATCTCTGATTCAGGGTTCAGAATTCGAGCTTAAAATAACTGTTATACTTGGCTTTTGTTTATTATCTTATTTTTATATCTTTGAGCCTAATGTGCTAAATGCCGCTTTTTACCGCTTTGATATTGCCGTGAATTGTATATAAAATTGTTACAACATCTTTCTTCTCTCTAAGTCTTC